CTATATATTACAAGGTCAGTCCCACCCACATTACGGATAATTTCAAACTCTGGCTATGTATACTGCGTCATGAACCAGAACTCATGGATATCATCAAGGCATTACCCCATGCGTCCATTTCAATCTATCCATTCGTCAATCCCAGGTCACTCCCGTGCCAACTGCCAAGCTCATCCATAGCCGCGTATCTCTGTCGCACCCACCTCCGTTTGCGCAGAAACCCGCGCCGGCGTGGGGACGGGAGCGGCGGCGCCGTCGGAAGTACACCTCTCCGGTGGGGTAGTAGGGCAGATAGCCGTCTGTCGGAGACAGACACATCGGTCAGGGATTGGAGGCGTTAGAGAAACATCGTTTGGGGATCGTAAATGATTGGACTGGAGACGTTAAGAAAGAATTATCATTTAGGAATCGTAAATGATTAATTAAGTGAGAGAGAGAGAGAGAGAGAGAGAGAGGAGAGAGGAGAGGGAGAGAGAGAGAGAGGAGAGAAGGAGAGAGGAGAGAGAGAGAGAGAGAGAGAGAGAGAAAGGGAGACAAAAAAGAGAGTGAGAGAGAGTGTGAGAGAGAAAGAGAAAGAGAGAGAGAGAGGGAGGTAGAGAGTGAGAGAATCACATTATGCACCGCCTTGAACGAACAATGACGACAAATGATGCAGCCTTTTTAGAATAAAAAGGATAGATAATAACGTTAGGTGCGGAATTCCCCTAAAAGCAACAGAGAATAAGCATACAATGGAATGCATCTTAAAAAGCACTCTGAAGGAAAGAAATCCCAATAGATGCTATACCGAGATACTCGGGTTGCAAAGAATCCAATGATTTCGTCTTGGAATTACAATAAAACTATTCACTGACGTTTGGTGATTTGAAACTAACGAAATAATAACTTCCGAAGAAAAAGAGACACAACAATATTTTATTCAGGACAAATATGCTGGAAGTTGGGACAGAGGTGAATGAGTCTGAAGTCTGAACTTTGACATATAAGCAGAAGACCATTTCCAGGAAAACAAACGAACAAACGAACAATGCTGTTTTCCTCCCGATCAAACAAACACACAACTATTCTGGCTCCACCTCATTACATTCAACGCACGCACCTGTTACTCGTAATTTCGGCGTCCAACCATGCCACCAGCACCCTTGTGTGGGAGACCAGAATGAATAGCCGCACGGGCACGTACCCGCCGCCCCCCCCCCCCCCCCGCCGAGTCACGGGCTATACGACTGCACGGCAGTGCTGTTAGTGGGCTCGCGCCGGAAGTTGTTTGCGAACGTGCGCAGATTTCGGATGTTATTTGGCCGGTCTGTGATGGCGTATTAGTATTTCTGGCGGTGCCGTCTGATATGATGGGTTGTTGATTCGGTACAAATTGAATCAAACGGTGTGTCGTAAAGGATTTCTAGGCCGGCAGAAAGGAGCACTGTATCAACAGCAAATATTTGAAGTCCTCGGTAGACTTCTGAAAACTGTGGATAGAGTAACGCAATGCAGGAAGTTGAGAATGTTTCTTTTGGAAAGAATAACTATGAAATCTATTTTCGTGACTTAATATCATATCATATTTAAGACAGAGGCTACAGTGCCGAGATGAAATGAGTGAACAGTTTTCATGGTAATAGGTGAACCACAACATTGAACAGCGCGACTTATTCGTGTCATTTCACTGCTTCTGGCCATAGCGTTTGTGGTCATTTGTCAAATATTTCGGATATCAAGGCCGGATACAAAATTTTGTTTTACGATGTCATGACAGGTATATGTCGAACAGGAATGAAGAATCATCGATATTTGTAGCTGTTTTGTTCCAGTGATACAGAATGCTAGAAGAAAGGAAGACATACTAAGCAGTGGATGCATGCTGAATGCATGCTCATTGGGATTCATAAAAGTGCGGCAAAACTGGGTTGTTATGCTGCAGATATCTGTTTATGAAGTGTTTCGTAAAGTCTATAAACTCTCCTAAATCACTGTAGGTACAGCGCGTGGGGCGATGTCGCAGTGATTCTGCAACTATTACAATCACCGACAAATTTGTGCAGCGAATAGTGACGTGCTGAACACAGCAACTAGAGTTCTGAACTGAAAACTCTGTCAATAGATGTCGCTAGCTGTGCTGCCTGGAACTTAGACTAGCCCGCAGCACTCCCTAGCGCTGCGGCACAGTATCCCTGTCAGCATTTCCGTCGCATCCAAACATGGCGAATGCTACGATACAGAGTCGTTTTCTGTTATGTGATGAGTAAGGGTTTAGCTGACTGATTCGCAACTAAATGAAATCTCTCTCTCCCTCTCTCTTTCTCTCTCTCTCTCTCTCTCTCTCTCTCTCTCTCTCTCTCTCTCTCTCTCTCTCTCTCTTTCTCTCTCTTTCTCTCTCTTTCTCTCTCTCCCGACCTCTCATTCCATCTCCCTCGCTCTCCGTCCCACCTCTCTCACACTCTCACACTCTCTCTCTTTCTCTCTCTCTCTCTCTCTCTCTCTCTCTCTCTCTCTCTCTCTCTCTCTCTCTCTCTCTCTCTCTCTCTCTCTCTCTCTCTCTCTCTCTCCTCTCACCATCCTCGGATGGGTAGATGTCCTCCGCCAGCGCCTTGCTCCTGTGCGGCGCTACCTTCTCCTCTGCGTACTCCATGGCGTCGTCATCGTTGACGACGTGAGCCATCGGCAACGCCAGCGGCACCTCGATCGGTCCCTCGTCCTCCTCCTCCTCGTCCTCCTGCTCCTTCCTCCGCTCCTGTCTGGCGTCCTCGCGCGCCGCTGGCCGGGAGAACGGGAGTACGGTTAGAAAGTGAGTGGGATCGGCGTGGCTGATTGTGCAAATACTTTTGTATGGTCAGTGGTATCCTGACCATGTTCCTGATTGATAATTGTATTATTTGGCGAACAAACTTGTCTTGTCCGACGATCTTATTAGCAATCCGCTTTAGTTTTTTACTTAAAACTGCAAAATGTAGCTAAATTCTTAAAAATGATCTAATGCCATGTTTTCAAAGGTGGCTGTGGTTTAGTTTTACCTTCAGATATGAATATTGAGTACATCACTACAATGTTGGCAAAGCCTGCATGTTGTATATCCCTTTTTATCGCCACATCCTCATTGTTATGTATTTTAGAACCAATACGCCATTTGGCGCCAGTCAGTAGAATCTCACCGTTTTTCAGGAATGCCTCTGCCACCTGGTCGTCCACCATTCCCGGCAGAATTTCCCCTCGATAGTCGTCCACTGCCATATTTTCACCACCACGGCCTGAGGAATACCAAATGAGACGCACTTCAGAGTGATATACCAAAGTGGTATTTGATAGGATTGAAATTCATAGCCAGCTTATGCATTCAGATCATTTTATGTCACGATAATCTAAAACCTTATATGATTAGGCTTCATATACGGGAACATGTAACCCCTGCTACGCATCAGACGGCACGAATAATGAACATTCATTAGATTTTGATAGCGCAGTATAAGCGTACGCTCAGACTCATTATTTTGAGCAGTGTGACGGTTCTCTACTCCCTGATATCCTCAGTTTTACGTCGGCCCCTTGCTAACAATTTTCCGCGGCATTTAGCAAACGCCTTTTTGTTACCTTTCGTCGTGCAATTTCCACCTGCTATGATTTCAGTTCACTTACCCATGCTGCCGATGTCCCTTTTCGTCACCTTCTGTTTTTGTTCTGTTACTGGGACGCATAGTGCGGACGAGACCAGAAGGGCTCCGATAAGGAGCCTTACGTACATGATTGAGTTATTCATCCTGAAACGTGACAAACGTGGACATTATTTGCTTCAAAAATAACGATGATGGCGAGTGAGTATGATGTGACAGCGACTTGAAACAAGGCTCATATCTAAGTCCATTCCCTATTTCAGCTGGCGAAGCACAGATGCACTTATTCCAAGGCTAGGCCGGCGGCACTTCCGTAACAAACGTGTGACATCGCGATAACATAGCTGACCTTTGTAAATAACTTAGCACGCGACGTTGCCTTTCTGTTTGAACAGCTCATACAGACAGCATCGGACAAAAGCAGCAGCCGCTGGCAAACGAATGAATCGATGGCGGCACCTACCGACCAAAGATGGTTACTAAAGCGACTGGGTAATGGTCCAGACAGTTAACGGAACAAAAGTTGTATCCAAGCAACTGTTGGTTCCTTTGAATATCCGTGAGGGTCGGCAATAAACAGAATTGCAGGGTCTAGAAAACAGTTGTATGAAATAACAGTGGTTTACTGGCGTGTTCGTACTAAATGTAACGCTTTTGACAATGGACCTCAATGCGTTTGATGTAACAAAAGTACCCAATTGCATTGTTAAAGCCAATCAAGATTGATTGATGACTGAGGCAAGACAAATGTTAAAACACTAATTTGGTTTCATGTTTTAAAAGCTACACAAATGACGACAAAGCATTGAATTCCTTTGCTGAGAAAGACGACTTTAGTGCTGAGATATATTGTTATGATGCATTGAAATTTGTTGTACAATATACTTTTAGCTATAAAATTAATGATAAGATGTGGACTAGTGACATATCAAAAGCTCCATGCACTGAGAAACAGCCATGAACCCACGCGGAATGTCATCTTACAGCAAAGCAAAGTAGCTAGCCCTGCCCTTTGTCAAGAGCCTGATAACACCAGTCAGCAACAGAGCAAAAGCACACCCCACGATGGCCATCACCTTCTCCAGCACACATCTGCGACCTTACACCCTGCCCTACGGACTCTCTCCCACCAAACCTACTGATTGTGAGTCTCCAATCGGACGAGAACCCGCCAGGTCCGCTCGCCGCCACCGTTCAGCCCCTACCTGCCACCTGCACGCCTCGTCTGGCGTGGTTGTTAAGATCGCCTCGGGGCATCGTCGGCGCAGCGCGCATGCGCAGAGCGTATTGACCGGCCGGGCCGATTGGTGACCCGGCCGGGTAGTCAGCTGGCGGTCAGCGCGTCAATGTGCCCGAGAAATATTTTGGTTTTTAGCTGATATCTGAAATGCAGCGTGGATCGTATCAGGATCATTGGCTGCTTTCAATCAGCATGAAATGATTGGCTACCTATTCGCACGGATGTCATAAATCGCCTTCAATGCCTACTTACTGTGCGTTGAAAGCAGATCCTAGGGTATCTAACAGTTTTTATTTGACGTTAGATTGCGTAGGAAAGAAGCACTAGAGGACACATTTCAGAGTTTTACTGTCCCATCCAATTTGGCAGTCCTGAGCGGTAGGCAGAACTGAGCTGACAGGAGAATTATGATGCCCTCTTGTGACAAACGGCCGCTCTGGCGACAAACGGGTGTGTTCACCAGCGCCGCTGGGTGACGGAGTGTCCTTGACCGTGGTCGCTGTGTCACCGGCTGCAAGGGCAGTTGGTGCGTAAACCAGATGTATGTTGAGACTTTGAAATGGAATGCATCTTTCGCTTTCGAACAGCAGAACACAGTATGTGATAATCGTCATGGATTGGGTTGATCCATGGCTCTGGGCGGGACCAGTTGATATTTGCTGAAATCGATGGAGACTGGGTGGGTTCAAGCTGGATAGGTTTATATAGTTGGGTCCATATTGTGACTCTTTGTGATCTGACCTCTGTGAGCTAACGTGGCATCAGTGACCACCTAAGCAGCATGTGTATTAGGCGACCAGCGCTGCATCGATGATTTTCGATAACATGCTTTTCATTTTACGTTATAACGCATCCAGAAGGCCCGTAATCAGTGAAAAATGTAGCCTTTGACCTGACCTGTGACGTCATCGGTTGCACCTAGGTCAAAGAAACTTGGTCACTTAAGGTAGTTCCCTGGTGGGGTGGCGCTATTGAAGGCTATTTGAATTTTCAAAATCGGTCGGTAACTTTCTGAGATCTTAGGAATCGGGTGGTAGGGTCCGCTGATAGCCCTACGGGGCGCGGAAATGAGGCGATAGTTAATAAAACAGCAAAGTTAGGTCATACTCACCTATTCAGCTAATGTTCCTGTCTAGTATCGTTCCTTTACGAACATCTCAGTTTAGTTTTCTCTGACTAAAAACAATCCATATTATTTGGTAGCAAAAGCCCGCACGCTCAGCAGGACTCCATGACTTACGGGTGTGTTGAATTGTGAACTTCTCAATTGAAAGCTTTACTTCAGGCAATGGGCTCCAGCCAGTGCGGAAAGGTCAGAGATTGCCTTCGGTTCGTTGGGCTCGTCGAAGACTGATGATGCGTTAAGTTTTTAACGACCTTTACACAGGTCTGATATGGTGTGACGGCGATAAACGGTAGGTGTGAATTATTCTTATTGACCGCATCTGATCGCATTTCAATGAAGTTCAACAACACTGAATACAATGCTTAGCATAATTGCAATTGAATGACCTTTGAAGATTTGATGTAAAATTGGGATATTATAAAGTTTCCACAACTGCGTTTTAATATAAGAGGTCTCGCATAGAATACTATAGCGCCGCATGGCGAAAATGTGGAAGGAGTGTCAAATCGGGAATATTTATGCACAGAAGTCGGTATCGTGCTGATTATGGATCCATTATGGTTGCCATGTATGGTATGCTACGGAGAAAAGTAAACCTTCTTGTGAAAAAACTGAACAAGGAAAAAACTACCCGTCGATCGTCGCACTTATGGGGCGGACGAAATAACCCCTAGGCCTAGTCTTTCACGAATAACTCATGTTGGAAGCGACCGATCGCAACAAACCTTTCAAGGCTCTCGATTTAGAAAATTGTGTACCTCCTGTGACAATGTCATGAACCGACTGACATTTGACCTGTGACCTTTTCTCGAACCCATATCATGCCAGTATAGCGTTTCGGCGTAAGTCGCGTCCATACTAGTTAGTTGTGCTGAGAAACAGCCAACATGTGAAATGCTGTGTTTCCCATGGATTGTTGTGGGTATCAAGGTATCGAGTCCTCAATTTCCTTAACCCTCGCCGGACCTATTGGTTTTCTACATGCGCGCCGGCCGAGGGGGGGGGGGGTCGGGTACGACCCCCCTCGCCGTTTCGCCCCTGGTGGAGCTAGCGCGTCACGGAAAAAACGAGCGTGTACGCCGTTACGAGCCGCAGAGATTGGTTCCCGATTTTAAGGTCATAGGTCAACCGGTGACCTCTGAGGTGTGGTCAAGTGCCCCAAGGTACGGTTCAGTTTTTGGTGAATAACTTCGCAAAAACGGCCGCAGAGCCGCGATTTTGGCAGCATCGTGTTCGCCTCGCTCAGGCACGTCGATTGATGTACTTTTTGTTTGGGTCAGGTCAACTTAGGGTGTTGACCTCAGTCCACGGTCAGGTCAGCGCCCCCAGGTCACGAAGCTGGTCGAAGGAGGTCATGTCCCATATCATTCGATTCGGCAAGTCTTCCTAAGTCCATTGGTGGCTTTCCCGACTCGCTAGCTCAATTTGATCAAGAGTTATGGACGAAAAACTAATATGACCCTGATGACGTCATAAATGACGTCACGCAAGGTCAGCATTGCAAAAGTTACGCATCTTACCTTGCAAGGAGTGCATCAAATCACGATCGATTCTGTGTGTTTGAGATAGTTGGAGATCGTTCCCGGCGCCAGAAAAGCAGTTTTTATTTTTCCCTATTGACTTATAATGGTGAGGTCACGAAAATGAACTGACCTCATATGACTTTTAGGAAAAATCCGAGATATACAAGTTGTGAGACTCGTAATGGATACTAGATCCTGCAAGTTTCATTTCCCTGTGAAAGCTTCTCTGGCAGTGAGGGCGTTGCGAAGTTGCGACATCTGAACTCTGAAGACCATGCAGAGGTTCACGTATGACGTTATAGGTCAGTGACCTGACCTGACCCGAAAATGCGGTTGGTGTCAAAAGATCCGGCTTGAATCAGAGGTCAGGTATGCCAAGTTTCAGTTCTCTATCACCAGCGTGTTCGGAGCTATCGCGAAAAAAAAACCTATGGGGGGGGGGCGGCACCCGCCCCCCTTCCCCCTCGGTCGGCGAGGGTTAAACCCCCGGTCAGTGTTGCAACAATTTGAAGAAAATATTTTGTCCAAATACTCTTTCAATGTTTTGCCAATATTCGCCTCACCATGAGACTGCATTGGGCGGGGAATGAAGTCAACCAATGGGTTCAATCTTAGCTCGGGAGTGTGAAGCATCGCGCATCCTCGTATTGGCATTTCCGATTGCCTTATATAATGTCGACTTTGACTTTTGAGCTATTCCCGTTTTGCCGAAATAAGAATAGATACCACGCAGCAAGTCGCAGACTATACCCGCATGCAGTAAGGTATAGGCATACCGCGATCATTACTATTCATTGGCATTGGAGGGCCGCTGTAATAGAAACGGCAAGTGAACATCAACCCGAACGGCAATTCTAGTCTGCCGTTTAACTGTGCTATAAATGTAGCATCCGGTGAATACAGAAGTGAGGCCCGGTCCATTTCAGATCGACGCGCTTCAAGTAGCTTTCGATAGCGCCTAAAGCTTTCAAGCGTATCAGGCAAAGCTTAAGAGGCCCAAGCTAAAATGCTGAGGAGTGCTGCGTGAAAAATGTTAGGTTTACATGATAACAAAATTGCAAGCTGTGCCTCGTTTCATAAAGCGAGTCCATAACTCACGCCGTTTTTGGGCTTGTATTGCAAGCGCATGTGAAGCGATAAATTTATTTCCCCTTCTCCCTTCTGTTCTTGCTTGCAAGATAAATAAATGCAACGATTCAAACTATCGTCATCGCTTCACATGCGCTTGCAATACAAGACCAAAAACCTTCGTAAGTTACGGACTCGCTTTATAAACCGAGGCCGTGATCACAGATTGATGCATCTATAATAGCCTCGAAATAATTTGTTCAAATATTTGTCGCTAAGCCTCTTCACTTGTGACTTCTCTGTAAAAGGTTTGAACCACTACATTGTTTTTAACGGTTAGATATTGATTTAAAAATTATGTTGTACCTGATGAGGAAGTTCACACGGCTCTTACTTAACCTTATCATTTTTTTATAATAACATAGGCGACTTTAGTAAGCCATGTTTATTGACGATAAGAGCTTAATCGTCAATAAACATACCCTAAGGCAGCGTTCCAAAGTAAAATAGCACCACTAGTACGAATAACACGAAAACAAGCCACCTACGAAGCAGTGATGGGTTGCCGGGTTTCTGTGCGAATAATATCAAAACACGTGACCCGAAAACGTTCAGAAACAGAGCTTGGAGGCAATTAGTGGAAGTCGTATATACGTATCTTCCTTCCTCCAACACCGACATTGCAAAATCAAGGCAGTACACGCAAATATGGCCTATCCCGTTTCAAAATACGTTAATTAGAGCTGTAAGGAAATACAATCCGAGGAGGACGAGAAATGGACGAGAAATTTGCGCAAGGAGAGCAAGCCATAGACAACGGGTTTGCTGGCTGGCAATAACCGCTTCATTACGGAGCGAGCGAAGCGAGCGGAGTCTTACGTAGAATAACGGAAATTTCTGAGTATGAGCGGCCGGCCGGCCGGCCGGCCGTGCGGACGCTTTTGCGAGGCTTATATCTCAGCAACCACTTGACCGATTTACACGCGGTAATTTTTATAGGGTAGCTTCATTCCTTCTACCAAGTATTGGACTATTCCCGATGCATGTGAGTGACCCCTTATGCACGTGCCACGTGCAAAACGAAGAGGTGTCAGTTTTGCAATTGTTGCAATATTTCGGTAACTACTTGGCCGATTGCGCTGAAAGTTGGCATGTAGGTAGGCACCCACTAGGCACTGCATATCCATGTGCCAGAGTTGGGGTGCTGCTGCACGTGCGCACGTGCAGGGGTCGTTTCCAGATCTCGAGAACGGCTGGACCGATTGCGCTCAAATTTGGTACACAGTTAGGGACCGGTTAGTAGAGTGCCGTGCAAAAGCCAGTCGGGACCCATTTTGCACGTGCGCACGTGCAGGGTGCCGCTCCCAGATCTCGAGAACGGCTGGGCCGATTGTGCTCAAATTTGGCAAATCGCTAGAGACCGGTTAGTAGGGTGCCGTACACAAGTCAGTTGGAGGTACCCCCTCGCAATTTCGCACGTGCAAGGCCCACCCTCTCGCTCGCTCCGTTAGTCGCCCCATAAGGCGTTATACTGGTTATTACGGAGCGAGCGAAGCGAGCGTAGTCTTTCCTTAGATTAACGGAAATTTCTGAGTATGAGCGGCCGGCCGGCCGGCCGGCCGTGCGGACGCTTTTGCGAGGCTTATATCTCAGCAACCACTTGACCGATTTACATGCGGTAATTTTTGTAGGGTAGCTTCATTCCTTCTACCAAGTATTGGACTATTCCCAAAGCATTTGGGTGACGCCTTAGGCACGTGCCACGTGCAAAACGAAGAGGTGTCAGTTTTGTAATTGTTGCAATATCTCGGTAACTACTTGGCCGATTGCGCTGAAAGTTGGCATGTATAGGTAGGCACCCACTAGGCACTGCATATCCATGTGCCAGAGTTGGGGTGCTGCTGCACGTGCGCACGTGCAGGGGTCGTTTCCAGATCTCGAGAACGGCTGGACCGATTGCGCTCAAATTTGGTACACAGTTAGGGACCGGTCAGTAGGGTGCCGTGCACAAGTCAGTTGGGGCCCATTTTGCACGTGCGCACGTGCAGGGTGCCGCTTCCAGATCTCGAGAACGGCTGGGCCGATTGTGTCCAAATTTGGCAAATCGCTAGAGATCGGTTAGTAGGGTGCCGTGCACAAGTCAGTTGGAGGTACCCCCTCGCTATTTCGCACGTGCAAGGCCCACCCTCTCGCTCGCTCCGTTAGTCGCCCCAAAAGGCGTTATACTGGTAACAATAACAAGTCGAGAAATAAACGTCCACATGAGGATAAGACAAGTTATTTTATATTTCTTTGCTTACAATTGCAATGGTCAAGTCTACAAACATCAAAATACAGTGTAATAAGTGGGCCAATGGGAATGCTCAATGTCTATGCATTGCAAGGACAAATTATACCTCTGAGTTGCGTTTTTGTAAATACCTTTTCACTAGCTCGTAAAGGGAAGTGCCTGATTTGATATAGCAAATGACATGATAACAATATTTCAAGCGAACATGTCAGGAAGGTCACCGGCCTAAATTTTTCCCAAGGTGCCTCAGAATATACCTTATGCGCATTATTGTAATTTTGCCAAACAGCTTTTGCTCCATTTAGTATTAACTATGCATATGCATGCCCTTATTAAAAGGCAACACTAGGTTTCACGTTGAAGAAAAATCATTCAGTTGTTGGCCGATACTAACGTAACTGCCAGATATAAACTAATCCAGTGATGGGTAAAGGCGAGGGAGGTGGTATTGGATGCCTCTTTTGGGGTCTAATATGGCTTCTGATCTTGATATGGATCAGTTTCTTCGTCGCGTGTTTCTGTGCCGGGTGGTATATTCTACTGTCGCCGATTTCCGTCTGCATTGAGCCTCTATCGGTAAGCAATCACCTTTTCTAGGATATTTGTGATACAAGTTGAATTATAATCTCTATTTCTACATCCACTTCTATTCCTTTTCCTGTCTATTCTAACATTATCAGATATCAATGCATGCATTCTTAGCTTTCAGTGTTCAGGTTAATTATTCGTCTAGTGTCGATTACCTTGCATTTTTAGCTATTTTTTTCATTGGTCATTCACACAAGTCTTGCACCTGATCGCGGTGATAAAAGTGTAGCTATTAGCCTTAACCAAATGGGTAAATAATCTTTTACATTTGGCCTCCCCTTATCATTTTTCTTTTGCACAGACTAGAACCTGTTATTAAGCCTGTTAGGAGCCTGTTAGTAGGTATGCATCGTAACCCGTTATTCATCCTTTTCAGGCTATAACGGATATTCTTTTAGCTGGTCTTCAACTACCGAAGACGTGTGCTCAAAATATGATGGCCGGGAAGTCGCTATTCTAAAGAAGTCAAAAGGTTAGACCAAGCATTATCTTTGGACCAAGCGTCGAGAATATCAAGTTCCAATGCATTCGAAGTTATTAGTGACCTTATAATCGATAAAGTTACATCTCTTCAATAGTTATAAACATTCCACTAACTACTGCAAGCGTTAACTACTACTGCTTCATTGCTTTCAATGAAAACAAGACGAAGTTACTAACTCATACATCATTGTTATCCGCCGCTTGAACACGATTTAAAATCACACCCATCCCATTCTGTTCGTTTCAGTGGATGTGTTGTCGTCATGTAGAGCCACCAGCATCCATCCATCAAGCGTTGTTCTGCCTCGACGACCTGTGCCTCTATGGCGGTCACAGCACACGGCACCCCAGGTCGGATCCACTAATTTTGTAATTTGGTGTATGAAGAGTCAGAGTGCAAGTTTGGTGTAAATAAGTTGTGCGAGTGTTGTTCATTGTTATATTTTCGAGAAGCTGTGATAATGTCACACATGCAGTCGGTTACTGAAGTAATATACATGTAAAGATGTGCCCAAAATGCTGATTCGTCAGTCGCCGTAACCACGAACCATAGTCAAGTGATTACGAGACTGAGAGCGCGTTGACGAGAAGCAAATGCCTCTCCGGAGCTCCGTAGCCCACTCTTCCCTTTCAAACCGGATGCATGCCGCTTGGAGTCTGCAGCTGAAAAAATAATCCAAAACGCAGATATGGCGTCGATACCTAGAGAAAAAAAAAAACACTTTAGTCGGGGAAAATACGAACCTTCACGACCATAGAACTGGTAAGCTACGATCGCAGCAGCGCGCAAGCGTTTCGGTGCTTAGAGCCACGGCCCCTTCACTTGTTGCTAGCCCCATTTAAAATCAACGTTTCCTCAATTGCGGCATGAAAGTCATCTGCGATTTTCCCCTTTTATTATAGCCATATGCATCAGGATATACGTAGTGAGCCACCACACATACCGAGAAACCACAACCCAGGCGTCTACTATACTAATGAGCCAACGACGGCCAATCAACTCGCGAGCCGCGGCGGAGCCCGCCAATCAGGTGCCGCCATTTGAAAACTCGCCGGCCGCCGTCGGGCAGTAACCAGACCCCCGCCACACATGGAACATTGCCGGCCGGCACGACAGCCAATCAGACACAGCGTACCACCTCAGCGACCAATCAAACGCCACCTAACTGAGGGCGGCTATATGGCGGCCCGGCGGCACAGTATCCGGCCGCGCGCAGGCGGCCGGCGACCGGGCGGCGCCCGCGGCAACCAATCAGCATTCAGGGCCGGTGCGCGTCAACCAATCAGCATTCAGGGCTGGCGCGTGGCCACCAATCAGCATTCATTAACATAAATAACCATTAATGTGCACCCTCACAACCATTACCTCTGTCTCCGGCCGCTGTGGGGGCCAGTTGGACCACGGGAGCCCCCTGCCGGCTCTGGACACCCTCCCATGCACACACCGTCACAAGTGGCTATAAGTATATGGGGACGCCAGTTCACTCACATCCGTCCCCTGCACAAGGCTCCCCGGCGTCCTCTATGCACTCTCATCACCAATAACAGGAAATATAGTGTCTCTGAGCCCCTCGGGGCATAGTTTATGTCGTCTCACTGCAACCACTCCACCGGGACAAGGTCCGTCCGTCCGTTCGATTCGCTATTGGCACCGGGCCGGGTCCGACCTGGCTGCCCCGTGTCTGGGGTCATGACCCGAGGTCAGCGCGGGTCACGCGGGGTTCCCAGGCGGCTCACCGGCGGCCATATCGGTTCAGTCGTCCGCGCGGGGCACTGACGGGCGCTGGAGCTCCGGCCATCTGAGGGAACGCACGGCGGAGAGGTCACACATTGGCTGGTGACACGGTGGAGAGGTCGCACATCTGTCCGATGACACAGAGAGGCCACACATTGACTGGCGAGACGAGAGACAGGTCACCGACCGGCTGGTAAAACGAATAATAAATATTGGCTAGTAGCACAGGAGATATCACACAAACCAGCGGCATAAAAGAGATCACACATATCGGCTGATAACAGTGATGAAAAACAGAGAGAGGTAAAACATGTAAGACGCACGATAAGTAAAGTAGCCTGGTGACGGTGATGGTAACAGCTCAGAATACTGCGATAATAACCGACGACTGACGAGTGCAGCCTACGCGCTGAGGATTATTGACATGCCGCTCGGCTTTGGAGCCGCAACAGACAGCGGAGGTCAAGCCAGGCCACTGCTAGGGCGGCGGCGGATTTGCTGCGCCCGGGTACCCCAAGCTCGGCACAAAGTTTCACCTCTGATTATTGGTAAATGTAAGGATTCCTAAAGTAGATTAGAGCCCATTACATAAGCGAGATTAGCGCCACCTCATATCAATTACAAAATCTCCTCTACATTAAGGCTGGACGTTACCACGCGTGGCTCGGCCATTGGCGTGCTCTGCTTATTGTGTGCTCCGCGATAAAGATTCATGAGCGTCCGGCTATGCAAAAACAGCCATTGTGGCGACTATGCAGCCCAGCCGACCACATCACGACGCCCACAGCACAGACAGCCGAGCCCTGGCCACGCCCTCGACATCTGTGTCGTTCTCTTGAGTCCGTCGAGAGCGGCGGATGGGGGAGCTGACTGCAGGGAGCGCTTAGAGTCGTGATTTTCAACAACAGCGCTAAGGGGTGTATTTCAGGGTTCCGTACTAGTGCCAATTCTATTCGGCTCAGTAATCAGTTAAAGGGTGGCCTGTCCATGCTGAGATTTCCCAAGACACGAGGTGATATGTATAATAACATGCCCCTGACTGGTGCTGTGCCTTTCACTGTGCAGAACTGAATGAGAGGCGTACAACGATATGTGATATAGAGCAGTACTGCGGTTTTGGGCTCGACCTGCTTGAACTTGCTGAGTCGCTGACTGATGCGATACTGGGACACGTGGCCTCACTTCCTGATAATTATAAAATAAAAACATACAGATGACCATTATCTGCTTTGCAAACTAAGGGCGCAATGGATATCTGTAATTACGACTGGCGTACTTGGAAGCAAGATACCGGACAATAGGTCAAGGGTTCATACACCGGGGTGCGGTGCTTCCATTTGGACCCCATTTGTGATACTCGAGCAGCAGGATGTGCATTAGTGCGTTCTAAGTATTCCCGCCTAAACATGGTATCAAATAAAATGTGCGCTATTGACCTATTCACAGACTTCCCTAAGCAGAGAAGTCTGTGACCTCGCATAAGGCTCAGGGCATTTAGATGGATTCCGAGCTAGAAAATGGCAGCATCAACCTTCACCGACCTTCAAACCTCGGAAACCCGACGGCACAATATCTGGCAAATACAAATAAAAAATAATATTAATACCATAGCAACATCGTCCCATCCACCCAACCGCTTTGGACAAAGAGCGAACGGATCATTCCACTGCAGTCGGAGAATCGCGTCTAGCATAACTTTAAGTTTACATTATGCATAGTTATTCAGCAAAAAAGCAAACGCATTACGTTCCTCAAACTTGACCAAGTCCATTCGAACCGATTCGACGGCACACTTTTTGGATAACTGCTGAGCCAAACTAGTAAAAACTGAACTACTTTGGGAGTTGACCAGGCCCAATTTCAAGTCACCGCAAAATAACCCCTGCAGTGGTGGAATTCGCAGGAAATTACCATTCAATGTGCATGTTGCATACCACACAAATATGCTTTAAGATTCCACATGTTTGAGCCGCAGAGTTCGAATGCCTCTGTTTTCTGGCGCACCACCACAACAAAGCCAGGCTATATCTGTTCCGACCGGAAATGAAAGACCCGAAGAGAACAGCCGCTAGTTTCTGTAAGACCCTCCCGATACCCCACCTCCCTAGCCCACTAATGGCGAATAAGACGAGCCACATGCCATAAAATACTGGCGATATTATTGGGCACGTGCTACATAAACTCCCGTCCCTAGGAGAGCGCCCCGGACTCAGCCAGCCGCTGGTCGTAGCGGGGACGGGCGCGGGGAGTTCCAATCAGGGAAGTGGCGCCCGGTGACCACAGAACTGACCTGTCCAGGGTTGAACATGGGAGGAGCTGCTCCCTGCGGGGGCGCGCAGTCGCCGGGCGCCGGTGGCTGCAAAAAACAGATGAACGGACGAGTTATATTTATGCATAATGCATACATATTACATAATCCATACATAAAGGATAGACGGATGGAGGGACCACACCGGTGAGACAGACCATACCGACAGACCGACAGACACAGAAAGACACACAGACAGACCCATGGACTGATCGGCAGACATATTGACAGACACTCGCCATTTTGAGCACACACGTGTGCACACACGAGGCGTACACAGCTAGACACACAGGTCACGGGAAAAGACGCTTACATAAATATCGACGAGAGTGGCTATGTCAGATGAGATGATCAGCGAGCAAATGAACAAGACAGGGGAAAGGGGCTGAGGCCAGGGATCAGACGGGCCAGAGCATTGATACGGAACGGATGAGCGATGTGTTGGACAAGGAAGAAATGAACTAGAAAGGACAAACAAGTAACAACCAAAACAATTGATGTGACAAGGGACAAGTGTATGATAAAAGTACAAGGGTCAGCCTTCCGTCACATGGAGCTAATGTTATAAACGACAAAATGAAAAGGGATTCAAAAGAAATAAAAGCGAGGTAAGTAACCAGAAGATCATAATTGTCGTCCCTTTTCGCAACTATATCTAACGAGCGTTGCCTTAACACAATGCGTAATCAGCATCATATTCATACGTAGATTTAAGCACCATCCCTGTCGAAAGTCATCGATGGATTACGTCGAAAGTTGACTTCGGTTTCCTAACTAGTTAGCAGCGCGGACATTGTGAAAGTCTACCACTAGGAAGTGAGTCTGCAAACTATGTGTCGAACAGGATGCTTTACGGCCGCCGACTGGTTTGAAACACGTGTTTCGAACAGACAGACGTTGCTGGTGATTTACATTGCAGACTGGTCCAGTTTCCAATGAACGCTGCACAGGCTGCATTACCATCATTGGTTGCTGAGAAACCCTTAGATGAGATGAGTTTATGATACGTAGCTCCGGGCCATTGGGCATTTTGCAATTCAGTGGCATAGGCGGCATTCAACGGCGAGGAGATTGAGAACCACCATCTATTTCTACATTCTAGCATACCTAATGTTTCGGCCTCAGTCAGATTCGGATACAGGCGGACAATCACTGAAAACGCATTATAGACCTCTCTCGTGTCAGGCCGCTCGTCTGCTAAAGCTCCTTCCGCTGAGCCTGGCTCCCGCCGTAGCTCGCCGAGCCATGCCACCAGACTCTATTGTTACACCCCGGAGGCAGACGTCTGACCGATACTCCATGTCACAGCTGCTTTTCTCCGAACTGAGCCGCCACAATGGGTCTGAAGGGCCGACGGCGATCGCCCGTATCGGGCCCGGCCTATTGACGTTCAGCTGTGACCCAAAGGCTGAACACAGACCACTGAGCAGCCGCTAAAAGCCCCTGTTAGCGGCCCTACCACGGCAGCCTTTGGCGACACTTTCATGCCAACCACACTAAGAATGTCATTGCTGCAGTGGCTCGATATTACTGCAGAGTGCTGAGCAGACGGCAAAATTAATTGAACATGATTAGATGAACTTGAATCACCTACGTTGATACGTTCATCTGACAAATCAAAGATGTCAGGTAATTTTCAAATTGTTATCGGATCGCCAATAGATAATTAACCTGATTACCCAAACGTATAATAGTCTTCGAAAATCACGCGCGTCCTTTAAGCTTCCAGTTAATCATAATCGTCATCACCGATTACCGACCCAGACAGGCAATCTTAACATTTTTAAATACCGACATTTATTAATTATCAAACTGCAGACAGTTGGGATATCAAATGTCTGGTTCCACCTCGTCAATAAATGAAAACATATACAAACTGAATAAGTAAGAGGAAAAACCGCCTAAAGAAACACTAACTTATCGCGCATTTACCCCAAAGATTTACTGCAGTGTAAAGGATAACATGCATGTCAAAGAGGTATTCCTTGGCGTAAGTGTTTCGCTTTGCACGGCAGCTTAGCCGCTCCACCGCAGTTTCCTTTACTATCACACAGGTTACAGACTCCCACACGTCTTATTCCCATTTACCCTAGTAAGCGTTCTCCCAGTCCCTTCTCACCTGAGCATCCATACCGGATCCATCAGCAGGTGGAATTGGTCCTGAAAACAACACCACAACGTCATTCACGGAATCGTAACATAGTTCTACCGGATAAACACGAAGCGTGACAGGTCATTACGGAACATGAGACAACACAGATAAAGCATCAGAGGCTTGGAGCGCCACACATCAGCGACGGAATGCTGCACGTCATAGACGGAATGCTAGACATCAGAGAAGGAACGCCTGATATGTGGTTATTACATATACGAAGCGCCAGCCAGTACTCATTACACAAACATTATGGGATAGATACCGGCATATCGGACGCCGGGGGCGGCAAATTATTCCCAGAGGAAATCAAGTGCCGATAGGTACGCGGTACGCGGTAACTTATGTGGACGTAATTATGCGCATGACATCATACCACAATCAAAAGGTAATGCTATCAGAATCTTGAAGCAAATATTTCTTTAAGAATAAAAAGGTCAATTAAAGCAGAGCACGAGCACGCGGTCAGCAGCAGTAGGTGCATAAAGTAAGGTCAACACTTTCACCCAAGTACTGAGAAAACGTCCAAAACAGTACATTCAAAACCAATGCCTAGTCACAATAAAGCGCGGCACACCGTCAATGCATAGTCCTACACCACCCATCGCTTTTGATAGCCTATGTCATCGCCCGTTACAAAATACTCCACCGCCGCCAAAACTCCATCAAACTGGCCGTGCAAACACTGCCGTAATCGCTGCCAGTGTGGAAAGGATTGGTGCGCAGCCCGTAATCATTGCTTCAATGACAGCGGGTGCGGCGGACCGCTGAGGTACGAAAACAGTCGGTCTACGGACGAGCTGCCGCCTGCAGTCCGTCTGTTGTTTCAAAGTGAGCGACAGCTGGGTGTACGAATCGCTTAGCTACAGGTCGCTAGGCAGCTAGACAACGCCGAGCTAGCTAGGCACCTTGGTAACAGAAAGCCACCTAGCTAGATGTTGCAACCTCGTAGGCGACGTAGACTATGGATGAGCGCCCGGCGAATGAACCCACGCGTAAGAGGACAGTTACATTAAAGAGTTAATTCGCATATCTAAGGGGGGCTTTAATTACTCAGTACTGTTCTTTTTTGCGGCTAATCGTATAACTGACTTCGTACGTTTTTCAGTCACCCTTTGTCTCCATCAATACCAAGCATCGACCACAATACGGCTCTATGACGCCGATCGCAGCCACTGAAGTATATTTAGTCACCCCACAATGCATCGAACTGCGATCGGCTGGACCAAAGGCTCGGCTAAATCGGGAATCAGTTCATTATCGCCGGCTCGATATAATCGGCCGCCCAGGGGCGACACATAGGTCCTATGGACCGCCGACGGATGTGGAAGAATGAGCACCAAACGGCGAGTTAACGTCAGCGACCGGTGGTAATAGGGCTGGTGGGAGCAGAGCTTACTATGGAATATGGCCGGGCAATACTGAATGGAAATTGGGTCGTGTGCTGATTACGTGTACTGATTACCGATTTGTGACTATAGGGTTGGCTCTAAAGTAAACAACTGCAAATATTAGCAGGAGAGAACCCAGCTCAGCAAACAACTACGATTAAATCAACGTTTCACTTAATACAGTTTTGAGATGAATTCTTCGAATGCAACCCTCACTGCGGTTCGCGAAATGTCAAGCATCCAAGTACCCTGATCGTGAGAATAGAGGGTCATATTAAATACCTTAGTGCAGCTTTCTGGAATTCATTTCAAAGCGATGACATCTGCACCGTCAAACGACTACAAACGTGGTCTTACATGCCGAGACGGTCGCTGATGACCTTGCCATGACCTTCCAATGACCCTGACTGACCTGGACTGGGAACCAGTGGGGGCAGACTGGCGGGTCCAGCGCTGGGTCCGGATCCACCACCGGGTCCAGATGCGGATCCGGAGCCGCCAAACACATCCACGTAGTTGGAGCGCATACCTGACGACGCAGAGGGTCGTCAGTCATGTAGCCATTGGATAGCAGTAATAGACATGGGGCGAGCTATGTTACGCAATGGGTGATAGTTAACCCGCGCGGGGCTGGGGTCTCCAGCCGAACGCGCGGGGCTGGGGGGGGGGGGTAAATTTTACCCCCCCCCCCCTGTTATCTCCCGAACTAATGGTCCGATTTGGAAAATTCAAACGCCAATCGAAAGCTCTCATCACGAACTACTAAAAACATGTACTTAATTTAAAGTTTGAGGTCAAGGTCAAGGTCAGGTCAAGGGTACAAATTGCAAGTTTCTACAGTATCGGCCTTGCACCGTAGTTGCCGAAGAATGGAGTCATGGACTGAGACTGATCGCCCAAAACGTGTTCTTAGGCTACCAAGACAATATTCGTTGCATACAATATCATTCAGAGGTCAAGGTCAAGGTCAGGTCAGGTCAGGTCAGGTCACCAAAAAACAAAATATAGAAAAGGGCATGTGCGACACATGTTTTATGGGTCATTTTAGTCATAGAATTCAATAGGCACTCTCAATAAGTGATATGGAACACCTCTGGATGAATTTCAGGTCGAGGTCAGGTCAAGGTCAGGTCAAGTGAGGTCAAATTTTGAAGTTGGTTGTTAAGGCCTAAAAAGGTGTCTATCTGATGCAGTTTTTCACGGCGAATCGAATGGTGCTATTTTTGTTTCCGTACGAGGTCTAGAACTTCCAAAAAAGTCATTTTTCAAAAATTTTGTGTGTCGTGACGTCATAAAATTTTAAATAACTGCCACATTTTTGAACCGATTCTTCTAAAATTTGGTATGTAGGTGCACATAGACCACTTCTCTGACATATATTCCGGTTTTTTCGATACTCAAAATTTTGGATTTTATAATGATTTTCCCAAAAAAATCAGTTTTTTGAAAAATTTTAGGCCAAAATCCAAAATTTTCAAAAAACCGAGATAGCCATTTGATAGATAAAGTAAAATTACGTATAACCTTTTTTGTTACCTCTTGATTCCTTTAAAAATGAAGATGTTAGCGGCGTTTGAACTTTTGCCGTTTTTGAGGCGAAAATGGCGAACATGACGTCACTAAAACGTCAATTTCTCAAAAATTTTCCGACGGATTTCGCTCAAATTTTCAGGGAACGTGTCAAATTGATGTAAGAAAAGGTACTGAAAGTTTGGCGGCGCTGCGCGCCGCCGTTTTTGAGATATCGCAAAAATTCGCGAGGGGGGGGGGTAAAATTTACCCCCCCCCCCAGCCCCGCGCGGCTTAAGTCAAGTAGTGCCCTGGCTTACGGCATTGGCAGCACATTCCTTACGTGGGCGCACAGACACGCTGAAAGTCGGCGGATCAATATCAAAGATAGCAAAGTTATCCATTGTTTGCATTCCGCTTCGGCGAAGAAACGTGTCATTTTCAGAAGTTCGTGGCACTCGGGGACACAGCTAGGTCGCCGTTTTTTGCCCCAGGGCCTCGGAGAGAAACAGCATTTGGAATTCTAACAACGCGACAAACAACTGTCATAAAGCGCATCTGAGGACTCGGAAGAATAACAAGATACAACGCAAATGATGTCGTAATTCAAGACAGACAAGGTTAAAGAAATGGAGGAAGTGACAAGAAAATGATGCCAGTAAGAGTGTGGAACTTAAAAAGATTGGATGGATTTTACGGTATCCTTTAAACAAAACTAAAACAAAGCATTGCGAAAAAAAACAACAGGACCAATTAACTGACAGATCACCTAAAGTATCGCCCGGATGATCTAAAAAATTTGAGACAAAAAACTGACGTCTAATATCTCCCCAGTTCGTAACACAAACACTTACCGCGACCCTTGGGGATCTTGAACTTGTTGCCGCCGCCGGCGGCGGGCGGCGGGGGCGGGCCGCCGGGCGGGGCGCCGCCGCCCATGGCCGGCGGTCCGCCGCCGCCGCCCCCGCCCAACAGCTGACTGTCGGATGGGGGCGCGGCGGGCGCCTGAGGCCCGTCGTCGGGCCCCGCGTCCTTGTCCACCCATCGCTTGGTGGCCGGGTCGTACACGATCTGTGGAGAGAACAGATACGGTGAACAATGAGCATAATAGTAGAGGCTTCAACACAGGCTGTAGAGCGAGCTGGTATGCTGTAATTTAGTTCAGGACCGCTCAATTGCATTACGCTAAGTTAACGAGAGTTTCTGAAGGATGGGTGTCTGCCTCAGATAAATCACAATTGGGTTCAACTTCCTTGTTCATAACTTAAGTAAGCCCATGTCGTAAATTTTCAGACCACTGAACCGTTCAGCGTCTCGGTCGCCGTTCGCATTTTGTCCGGCAGGTCCCACGGTCACAGCCGCTGTAAAGGCAGCCCAGCCGCCCCAGCTGAACGATAAAAGTCACCGCGTGACCGCAGACGGTCGCTGTAGACTGGCAAATGTCGAAGACGGAGGGGGCTGCCTGGCCTGCAGTCGGCAACAGGGAATTGTCGCATGATCCGGGTCGTTTTGACGCCGATCACATGTTCTACATCGATTAAAAAAAAGATACAAGCAAGCACCAACAAGACTCTTCAATAGATGACTGACCGCAAACGGCCCTCACCCTTGACAAAGGCACAACTCAAGATCACGTGACCAGCCCGCATCCATCACTGCGTGTGATCGGCGCCATCACGTGATCTGGTCACATTCACTGCAACGCGCAACCGTCAGCGTCACGTGACCCAACTGTCGGGGCGCTATTTTGGGTGGTTCACATGTTCACCTCATAACCGCCGTCGCCACGAAACGCTGATGCATTAACCAAGACAGCCCTGCGCAGTAAGGGACGATATGTCGACGATCAGCGATTTATCGTTGAAAAGACCGTCTGATCCAAGTCAGCAGTATCCCTGATATTGCATCCTGTTCTCTTTCTATCACTTCCGGTCCCGTCCGGGCTGTCTCCCGACCACTTCCGGTCGACTTCCGGTTTATGTCGACGTTGCCGGAGGTCAAGGTCAAAGGTCACCGATGCCGTGCAGAAGCCACCGGCCAGGCGCCAGGCGACGCGACGGCCGGCGAGCGAGTCGCGACATTTCACGAAAATTGAACGACCTTCCGTGTCCGCGTCCCGAATCCAGCGATCAAGTTTCGGGACATTTTTAAAGCCGGTTGTCAACTTGATTACGGGACTTTGTGGTGATTGACTCACGCATGGTATTACATAGGTTATGGGTTTAATTTGTAAGGCCTAACAAAAGTCATCATCTAACACTATCCAAAGTGTGCTATCTTGTCGTCGTCATCTGCAAAAGAAATGTTTTCTGACAATTATTTTTTTGCGATACATGCATCGTGATGAATATATTTATGCCTGCAGTTTAACTGGTTTTCATTACCATAAAAATGTACAACTTGCCGCTGCTGTCCAATATTCCACGCTGTCGTTAACCGTGACGCAGAAGTTCACTGCATCTTTGGTGGAAATGTTCTTTTTGTCAATTGCGGAACACGGCTCTCTCTGATGAAGGCAGCCTGAGGCCGTGAGTAAATGAAAAACATCATCCATTCGCTAGGCACGCAGAAACCTCAGGCGATTCGGCCACCTTGGTAACAAGAAAGTAATCAAAACTAGTGCACGAACATGCGTAAAAACAAGTCCAGCTCGAACTCCTCACAGAAATACGTTCTAAATCGAGTGTTGTTCCATTTCCCTCGGTAACATGAGTTGTTGTGAAACTTAGTCCAACTGCCACAAACTTATTTTCAAAAGAGATTCACCGAGGCGCTGATGAGTTGGAAGAGAACTTCTGTCTTCAGGCTCATCAACCAGCAGGTCTAGACTAGCACAGTCCGGCATTGCGTTTCAACTAAGCACATTCATGATCAACAGTCACACATTACAGTAACAGTAACATCACAGTCATACCCTATCACGATGGAACATCTAAGCACATTCATAATCAACAGTCACACATCACAGTAACAGTAACATCATAGTCATACCATATCAGGATGGAACATCTAAGCACATTCATAATCAACAGTCACATATCACAGTAACAGTAACATCACAGTCATATCACTTCACAACAGAACATCACATTCTAACAGTCACATCATATTTCACAGACACATACCACATCACCTCCAGACCACATCACATCACATCACATCCACGCCACATCACACATCAGTCCCATTACGATTGCTGCCTGGCACCGACATCACATCAGCTGAAAGCCGACCCGCCATGCCGGCTACCCAATATTACCCCCGTCGTTCCCCCCCCCCCCAACCACTCTGCTCTGATGCGGTCCTCGCGACGCCAGAGTTCTCCTTGATACAGTTCCAGGGACGCGGCTATTCAATCTAGGCGTTCACCGAGCGACCGCTCAGGCCGGTCAGAGAGCAGTAGCTTCCAGGAACTGGTGCCGACCCATGGCAGTGGTGGCGGTGGTAGTGGTGAAGGCGTGGGGGGGGAGTGACATTCGAAAAGGTAATTACACTTACACCTGGTAGAAGCAGATATAGCAGTAGCAGAGGCAATTACATTCGCAGGAAAACGGTAGAAGCAGAGGCACAACTATCACAAATTGAATCGGAAGTAACGAACTAATTATGTAGCAGCGACTAACTCACTATATAGTAGCTGACTAAGAAACTGTATAATACAGTTCCTGACTATATAGTTTAGATAGTTTCTATTTGCGACAGAGCTAGAGGTGGCAATCCCCAGAGCAGCCCCCGGGTCTGTGGCAGCAGTCGTATTCGCCGGAGAAGCCGTATCACTGGGCTGTATAAAGTGCGACATACAGTGTGATGATACCTTACAGTAATCTGCATATCATAAAAACTCGCATAAAAATTATAGTTCAAAAGTGATATCGGAGTCCTGTACACATACTCCGACAATCCACGGCATCCTGATTGGTAAAGCCCTACTTGCTGAACTTTATTGTCACTGCTCAGACTCACTAAAAAATAAAAAAAAAACTAGACAAATAGCACACAATTTGCCCGGTCGCCTCAACCACAACTAGCTAAAATCACCAGGGTTCTTGAGGTTCTTCGGAATTCCGTAGCTCTCACACCATCACTATTCACTAGGGTTCGGCGCAACAACGTCGTCACCCCGAACAACCCCAAGAACAGCCCAAGAACAGGTCTTGAACAGCCCGTGAAAAGCTCATGAGACAACTCTCGAACACCTTACGACAAGCTCTGGCGCCATTGGATTCCAACTCTGCAGATGATTATCCCCAGCCGTCCCGGGATGAACCAGCAAAGTTCGGCCGGGAGTTGGAGATCGGAGGTGTTGGGAGCATCGACCAGTATCGACACCCCCTTTAGAGACGAGTTGGAACGCCCCACCGGCCACTAGGGTGGACAGGGACACCCCAACCAATTTCTGATAGAAATATCTCCGATCTAATCGTCAACCAACTTAAAAACCGGAGTGCAGCGGTTTTCTAGCCGTACTAGCTATCTAAGCAAATGAACGCGAGGTCCTCAGGGAACAAAGCCTTTACAAACACACCTGGCTCGCAACACGTCCAGACAGTCGCCTTAACTCGTCACTAGCTGCATCACGAAAATCAATGCGGTAATCGGATGGGCCTCCTCGCGTCGACGGCCGCCCGCCGCGGCACGACTTTACTGCCGCTCACGGCACCCAACACACATCGGCCGCCCCGGCGGGCTCAGTTAACGACCCGGCCTTGACCTTTGGGGGCGCGTGCCGCGGTCGGCCGCCACTCGACGACTCCTGCTCGCTAGTGAAGGGAAGGGTGAGGTGGGGGAGGGGGAGAGGGAGGTTCATCGTGACTAGTCCAAAGGTCACACTGATCCACACGTGCCGGACCATGTCATCTCATCCTTTCGGCTTACGGAGCGCTCGGGTTAGGGCTTTTTCTGGCGTTAATCCGAGCCGCCTCCGGCCGTCCAGTGTAACTGAATGGGGAAGGTCATCTAAGATTAAATAACGTATTTCATGACCTCTACCTCTACATCGTGCAGGCTGATGGCCAAGGGCTACCAAATAACAGTTCCTGCTTCGTTGGCTACCACAAAATAGGTATTCGTAACGACGGCGGGTTGAGTTTCATGATTTCGAAAACGAGCCATTCACATGTCAATAACGGCTGGTCAGAGAGGATGGGCCAGCATTGGTGGCTATGTCAGATGATAGCGCTAATGGTTGGCGACCTTTGGAGACAGGGTTTCGCAAGAAGTGTCTCTGTGGCAACGGGACGATACACATTAGACAGAGAACTGAGGGACTTATCGTGATACCTCGGGTAATGGACAGTCGCAGAGCGCGAGCCACTGAAAAAGCTAGTCTCCATGCGACATTGACGGCAGACTAAAAATAACCGCCAATGCTTGTCACTCCTAAGGCCTCGGCACCATAGCGTTTCTAAGACAAACTTGGCAACACAGAAACAATACCGTCTGCCCTGACATTGACGACATTACTAGCTCAAAGAACAGTGCCTTGCCAGGACCAAACAGACGTGTTTTGCGCTGCTGCACAAAAGAAACTCTGCGCCTTTGCGCCAAAAAATGGTCAGCTAAATTACCAATGTAACCATTGAATCTGTAGTCTAATTTCAGTGAGCTTATCTCAGTACCTAACCCTAGAACGCCTAGGGGGGGGGTTGTATCAACCCCCCCCCCCCTGAGGTTTTTTCGAAGTGCACGCTAAACGGCTTGTCGTAGCGGGCTGAAATTTTCAATACCCTCTGGGGCAACCTTTGCGCATCTTTTGCCGAAAAATTGATCGGGTCATGTCAGGTCACGGAGTTATGACGTCATAAGAGGTACAGCCTCCGGCCGACAGTTACCAAACGTGTGCGCCGAATCCCTAGGTTTTCTGCCGGTGATACCCACATTGTTTGATGGATCATGATGAAACTTCCCATGCATGTTGGGGCAAGCATCGGCTATCGTGTGGTGCAAGAAAATTGACCGGGTCAGGTCAGGTCAAGGAGCTATGACGTCACAAGAGGAACAGCGTCCGGTACTATTTTTGAAAAGCGCCCGAACCACTATTTTGCTAATTCTTGTCACCTCAATGGGAATATGCAGCAATATTAGCTTCTATAGGGAGCAAATGGACCTCCCAAATCCAAAAATACAATCAGATTTCAAAAATTTAAATTTTGATTTTTCGACTTTCTGCCGCCGACTGTGACCTTGCCGACTTCCGGCGCTCCCAACGCGCCATTTTTAGAGCTAGGGAAACGAAATACATACCAAACGATAGAGAATTGATCAAGGAACACGATAGTGAAGGTTTCAAGTCGATATCTCCCACCGTTTTGCCGCAATCGCCGCGGGAAAGTTGAAAAAGTTTGATTTTTTCGGAAAATTTGACCTTTGACCGGTCATAAGTAGGTCAAATGTTGACCTAGGACCAAAAAATATACCACCAATCGCGAGATCTCGTTGAAAGCAATCCGTTGGTTTTTTCCGCTAAGCTCTACGACCTTCCGTTTCGAAACGCCAGGGGGGGGGGTCGTAACAACCCCCCCCCCTGGTCGTTCGTGTTATGAGAAATGGCCTGGTCGTGCGAGGGCTAATACCGATCAAAGGCCGATCAGAGGATATTCTACAGATCACCTCAATTTAGACCCGCCATTGTCCAACCTTCAGAGTTCCTCTGGCGCGACCGAACAGCGTCATACCAACAGAAGCAGCAACAGGGTCGTTCCTTCCAATACCTCTCCCACTGGGCATACAAACATATTTCTTTTTAAATACTATTTATACAACAACTCAGAGGTCAGTATCATCTAAAGACATTTAAAATGACTAGATAATTTAGCAGCCACCAACATTTCGTTGTCTTCGAAGCGCGCTAGTTGCCTTCGCCGCCAGCAAAGGTAGCACGGCAATCAACCCCAGGAAAACACATTTTCCCTGTTATGTCCCAAACACACCCGGACCCTTTGACGCGCACCCGGGGTCGCCGGCCTACTGCCTGGGGCTCAAACTTTCCGTGATCTTCACTAATTAGGGCTGAGCCGCCGCCGCCGCCGCTGCTAACGCTGTCATCAGCAGTAGGGGATTTCACTTTGACCTTGTCGACACGTGAAGAGCTAAAGCCTGAATCGTGGTCTGGCAGAGATTTTCCGACGAAACAAATGATGTGACGAATAAAAAAGTGTTCTAATGAAAAGACAGCGGAGAACTAGACAAAGAGATAGAATAAAGGATGCAAGAGAAAGAACGAAAGATCAAAAGGAAAACAACAAATGAGAAACTATGGTTACTATACCAAAGGAGAAAAATTACCAAGTTCGACCATTGTTTTTTTCTTCTTCTTCTTCAAGCACGGAGATAAAAAGCGGACAAAATATCTTCAGACGCCACCACCCTATCAGCAACAATTGCTGACCCATGATCATTCGCAAAAAGGTACACCGATGTCAGCCAGCCAGGCAGACAGACCAGCTATATTTCGCTCAGGCTATCACAGGCCTCGGCTCTGAGGGGCTTCAGAGCTCCTGTTCCCCGCGCTAACCCACGTCAGAGGCTGGGTTTCGGCGAATAGCATGAACTTTGAGACTGCCACCAGAGATGGCCGTTCATGGTTGGGCAAAGTTGCAAATGGCTTCGCGCTATAGCGAATCATACAGAGGCCATTTGGAGGAAAACAATTTAACGGCTGACCTGCGATGACGTGGTTGTATGTAAGCAGTATGCGGTTCAATCGCGGGCCGTTGCTCCGTTTATAGGTTCGACTGATTGTAGAAACGTGTGCGCCTACAGTGTCAACAGAGTTATCGGAAACTGCGCGGTACAAATTATGAAATAATTCCCTTCATTTGATGGTTGCCAATTCGCGACAAGCAGAACACTTCCCGGAGCTTCATCATCAAGAACTAATTGCAACTTAAATTTTGGCAACACAAAAGACCGCACCGGGTTTCGGGCGGGACAGATAATTACTAATCACATCCAGGAATTCCGTAGAGCGCGTCGGGAACAATTATTGAGCCGGTCTCAAATTCGAAACAGCATAAGGGCAATTACCTTCAAGAAACCATCACTCCAGTAGTGGTCATCAAACCGCGCGTTAACAGAAACGACTCAAATGAAGCGCATTATGATTGGTCACGTCCGGTTGGAAGCAGGCGTGTCCAGAGAGATATGATGCACCTCTCCCGCATACCGGAGTCAGGAACGCTCTCCGAAACGGGCCGGCGGAAAGGCAATGTAGCTAAACCTGATGGAATAAAATTACCATGATATGGAAGGTCATTGCGTTCCATATCAATGCTTGGTGCGTCATTTATGGACCATATACATTCATAAATCACTGCTGGCGTCGGCACTGCTGCGCAGAGAGTGATACGTAGGGCGAAGCCCCATCGATGGGGATAGCCCCGGTTCCAGACACTTCGGCGCTCGATAAGCAAAACTTACGGCGGGGTGGCAGCAAACGCAGTCAGCTTTAAGTTACGGTTCAACTACGGGCGCTCCAGCTAAATGTGACTGTTACACAGGCATATGGTGGTTAGGTCTTCAGACAACCAGGAAATCCCCGTTCAGACGAGAAAAGTCCCACACCGCGCATTTACAAGCGCATGTACGCGCATTGTACTGCTTGACGCAGGCTCAAGCCGCGTCCAATATCCAGAGTTGAGCTCTCTGGTTAAAACATTCAGACGCAAATATGCACTATTTTCATGGAAACGCTATTTCGCAGTCCAAAACAACGCCAGCAGGATTGCTTTTAGGATTAATATAACATTTTTGGCTAAATATGGTTATTGGTTATCATTGGCATCTTCCAGTCCATCAACTATCTAGATCCTAGCACGTCGCCTATCATAGCCTTTTGCAAGAACGCTATTTTAAAAGCATGGAAATCATTTACAACAGTATACCAACGGTATTCCAACAATAAAATAAAAAGAACCAATATTGACACATTTAACATTGGCCTACAAAGGAACGCAATGCTTCATGAAACAGCATCAAGTCGCTAAGCCAATCAATCCTGGATTACATAAATTTTAGCTATATTTTCAAATTTAGCGAGGAAAAAGTTTCGAAAAAGTCACCGATAAACGGACGCACGAAATAACCAATTAAGCCGAAGGGTATGAGCAAAAATACAATTGATTAGAAAGCCTAAAGCCGCATCAATGCAATACCAGAGTTGAATACTACCACATAACTGCACCAATTGGCTTGCAGCTCTCTTACTGCTAGTTATAATAGGTAAACTCAGTTGACTGGTCTACTGATGTCATTGTTTGTTAATTGGGGCTTAGTAGGGCGCGCCGACTACTAAGGCCATTTTTCGCCCATAACGTCGTACTAATGAAAGCGTGTCAAAAGAAAGAACTTTCTGGATACAGATACTAGATTGTAAAAGACTTGATATAAACGAGCAAGGCAAGATAAAAAAAAGCGCAAGAGTGTTGTCACTGATGTCATTGAACTCACCGATTTATCCTTATCGTCGGGCAGTTTCATCTGGTTTTTGGGTTTGCCCAGCCGACTGAAGAGGCCGCCGAACCAGCCGCCTCCTGATTGGTCGTTGGACGGCGCGCCGGACGCTGATTGGCTGGCGCTGGTCGTAGGGGGCGGGGCCGACCCTTTGGCTGGCTCTGATTCGTTCTCAGATGGCACCGACGACGCCTCACTCTGCAGGCACGGGTTACGTGAGGTCAATGTCAGGTCAAAGTCAGATTACGGGAAGAAAATATCTGGTGATTAGTTTGGCGTAAGATGGGATTAAAATAAGGTCAGGACAGATATCAAGTCAAGTCAGGTATCAGGTCAGGGACCAGCTGGTCACGTCAGGTCAGGTCCTAGGTCAGGTCAGGTACAAGGTCAGGTCACCGGATTGAAATACAACTGACCGATTGGAATAACATGATTGGCGGTGATCAAAGGGGACAGGAGCAGTTCACATATTCCGGACCATGATCAAGGCTAGGGCAGGACAGATGATCATCACTACCCGATCGGCTTTGTCAGGTCAGTAACAGACATTACATAATTTACAGCATTTGGTGCGATTTCTGTGTACATTTTCAAATATAATAACAAAACATCAATAATAGACTTCTAGAGAAATGTGTGCCTCATGGTTAATACCCAAGTTTCATGAAACACTGATGCTTATCATTGGTGAGCACATAACTAAGACACAACATCGGCGAAAGAAAAAAATAAATTAATAAAGCAATCGGAAGAGTGCGTATAAGCGAAAGAGAACATAAAACTCAGCGCAAATGCAGAGGCATCATCATGAAGAAGACACAAAAACAACGCTAATTACAATGCCAAAATCAAATAACGTGCCGAAGTACTAGCAATTAAAAGTAAAAGACGATAGCAAAAAGGAAAAAAACGGCATCAACAAACTCACAATATGCAACGAAATGTCGTAGGTAAACGACTCAACTGTCTCAAAAACGTCACAAATTACACAACGTTCAGCAAAAACAACGCAAATTGGAATCACGACATAACAAGCGCAACACAGCATGCGATTTTCAACGAAACAACCCAGACGAATCGCAATATCAGCCACAGCCAATAAAAACCGGCAACGAGCAGCGTTGCTAAGCAACATAAAATTAACAGCAGCATCAGATGAAAAACATAGCGGAGGGATTCCAGTACACAATATTTTCCAGGTAACGAGCTGACGCAAGCAAGACAAGAACCTTTCCAGAAAACAAACATAATAAAACGGCATCTCTGATATAAAATAATAAAACAAAAGTGCAGAAAACTAAAGGCTTTCTGAAAACAGCCAGGGCTAGCAACATTAACAGTAAACACGTCACAGCCCCGAGACAGCAGTGCATAATCGCAGTCTCAGCCGCTGCCATTAAAACCACCATGCAGTACCGGGCCACCACCCTCCCCGCACCAATGAAGCGCCATTGGCCGGGCCGGGTCCGTACCCAGTCCTTGGGGACCCCGGTCACTATCCGGTCCCGCCCGACCCATAGCCGTCCGTACCCCGGCCCAAGGGATCCCGCGGACCCAGCCCGGCTACTCTCGCCCCGACCAACGCGGCCCCATTCAGACAGTAGGTACAGTGCCCGCCCCCTGGGGAACCACTCAGCCCGGCCCGGCCTCATCCCCTGAGTCACGGTATCGGGTCGTTTCTATTGCCCTTCATACCACGATGTTCCCAGCAATCCATGGCCAAAACTCCTGTCCGTCTCGTGACTAAGTTTCCGTTATATTACGCCTAAAATGACTTGCTATAATCGCAGTTACCCATTCAACCTGTAGACGCCTTTCAGAACATTGATAATAATTTTCATCGCAAATGACCCCGGATATGCGAAAAAACGCATTGCCTATCAATCGAACGGCGGCTGAGCGCAATAAAATTCCGTTTATGATGCGCATTTAGCTTTTTCCGATAAAAGCATAATTCCACGATATTCCGACTCGCCCCAAAAGATCCGCTTATGCCGGTCGAGGTCGCCGCCGCCGCGACCGAACCGGGGAGCTCGGCCCAAAAATCAATGCGACTCGAGACTGCCAGGCGCCACGCCGGCGGCGGCGGCGACAGCAGCGGCTTCGCTGGGACAGGCTCGGTGCCGAGACGAGTTTCCCAGAGACAGAGGCGAGAGGTGGTGGAAGGAGGACCGACGCTGAGGAGATGGAGAGAGGGGGAGATGAAGGGGAGTGACTGATAAAGGCGTTCGGCGAGAAAGCCAATGTCGAGAGAGACGGAAGGGAAGGGAAGGAGGAGGAGGGGGAGGGAAAAGAAGAGAGAGAGAGAGAGAGAGAGAGAGAGAGAGAGAGAGAGAGAGAGAGAGAGAGAGAGAGAGAGAGAGAGAGAGAGAGAGAGAGAGAGAGAGAGAAACAGAGACAGAGACAGAGACAGAGAGAGAGAGAGAGAGAGAGAGAGAGGGAGAGGGAGAGGGAGAGGGAGAGGGAGAGGGAGAGGGAGAGGGAGAGGGAGAGGGAGAGGGAGAGAGAGAGAGAGTGAGAGAGAGAAACAGAGACAGAGACAGAGACAGAGACAGAGAGAGAGAGGGAGAGGGAGAGAGAGAGAGGGAGAGGGAGAGGGAGAGGGAGAGGGGGGAGAGAGAGAGAGAGAGAGAGAGAGAGAGAGAGAGAGAGAGAGAGAGAGAGAGAGAGAGAGAGAGAGAGAGAGAGAGAGAGAGAGAGAGAGAGAGAGAGAGAGAGAGACCTCGAATCGCGGGAGCGGAGTTCGTTCAACTCTGGTAAGGTGTAGCTCTGATATGCATATGGGAAACTCTGCATGTGTGGGCTGTCAGCTAGCTGCATTCAACTGACTGGATTTCACCGGTTCGCAAAGGCATAAATGATTATAAAGCGATGCGCTGGCTTCTTCAAGGTTTTCAAATGCGAGAGAAGTCTAAGGCCCCCGGCAAGATTACTTTACTGAGCCTCCGGCACTTGTAAGGGTGAGGCATGACGCAATAGCTCAGTCGATAAACCAGTATTGGATTCGCAGGCAGCATTAAAACAACTTTCGTGCGGTAGTTTTCGAGAGCGACCCGATTCAATGTCGATCAAGAATACCTGGCTACTCTCCCCGAACCGCGCCCCCTCCTAACTTCAGCCTACAGTGCGCTCCGAGCCCTGACCCATACTCCGTTCCGTGACCCGATCCGTGACCAGACGTCCCATGCCCCGCCCCGTGACCCGTCCCGTGCCCCGTTCCATGCTCCGGTACCTCGGAATCCTCTCCGACGGAGTCCGCCCGTCGGTCGGCGGCGGCCGGGGCCAGCCGCGCGTGCTCTCTGCACAAATGAGGCGGCGCGCAGCACGGTTCGTCAATCGGGTATGTGCGCACCGTGCCGTCACCTAGCGGCGCCGGGCGACACTTGAGCTTCGCCTGCCGGCCGCTAGGTGTCTCCGGCCGCGGCGTGTTCTGATGGGTCGGCTCGCGGCGTAGGTTGCTGCTCCGGCGACTTGTTGATGTGGTTGTGTGGGACGTTTGTTGCGCGGAAGCTGCCGTGCGGCGAGCGGTGACGCGGTGGCGGAGCTGATTTCCTCCAGCGCCGGTGGGTGTGTCCAGGCCGCTGATTGGCTGAGCGGCTGAGACGGCGCTGCTGATTGGCTGACGTCCGGCGGCTGGCGTTCGGCGATTGGACGCGGCGGCGGCGCGGGCTCGCTGATTGGCTGGCGGGCGGACCGAGGATGTGGAGGAGCGTTTGGCCAGGTTGCTGAGGTTGTGGTCCGTCTGGGAAGGAGGGAAGCAGGTTAGAGATTGCACATGACGTCGGGCAGACG